CCCCCCCCCCCCCCCTCCCCTCCCTCGGTCTTCTCAGTCCCTGGACCGGCTAGTGTACGGTTAGAAATGTTGACACGGTATTATTTTTTCTGTTGGAATGGCAGTATAGTTATGCTGTTACCAGTTGACTCAGTCATCGTAGTCGTAGACCTCGGTTTTGTTCCATTATAAATAGAGTTTGTTTTTGGTTTGAGATGCCGCGTCTGCTGTAGGTACCTTCGGCTGGGCAGACGTTACATGGGAGCTGGGCCAGTTTTCTGAGAATACCTTATATCATTAGATTTCCCTGCAGTAGAGCGCCTGTCCTCATTCACCAGTCGTCCACCAAAGGATTTTCGATCAGCTGTGAGAATTCGTCTTTTCCCGAATAGTGGGCACGGAAAGGTTGTGAGTGCATGTTCTGATTACTCAGAGGTATTTGGAAAGTTCCGATCAGCTATAGTTTATGGCCTTGTTCTCCAGCGGTTCAGTTGCATCTCTTCCACATGCATTGACCAATGCTTCTTCATCTGGTGGTCAGCTTGCCGGCCATCCTAACATTCATTTGGTCTTGTAAAAGAACTGTCAACTCAGCGGCTCTCCTCGCACAAATACCTGGCATGTTAAAGAGCCGGTTTGCGCACCACATCGTCTGCCCTTCCAGGATTTACCTGGAAGCTGCAACCTATTTGAAATGCCCTCTATGTAGTGTATGTATGTGTGTGTGTTTTTGTGTGTGCATGTGTTTGCGTGTATATATTCGTGTGTGTGTGTATATATATGTTTGTGTGTGTATTTGTATGTATATGTTTGTGTGTGTATATGTTTGTGCGTGTGTATATGTGTGTGTATATGTTTGTGTGTATATGTGTTTTTATGTGTAAATGTTCGCGTGTATGTAAATGTTTGTGCGTGTATATGTCTGTGTGTATATGTTAGTGTGCGTGTGTGTGTGTGTATATGTGTGTGTCTTGAGCATTACGATCTTATCCTGAACATTTCCAGAATGAAGTATCCACTTTTTCTTATCAGTTGTTTTTCAGTTTTTTTCGCTAACTTTGCAAAGTATCTCCCTGTAAACGTTATCAACATAAAGTTAGAAAATTAAAACTGTGTTGCAATTTGATGACTAAGTGATTTCGCGTCAGCGAATTTCTCCAGCGAGCAGCTAAGAGTATTTTCAACGATTTTCTGCAGCCCCCGCCCCTCCCCCCCCTTTCCCTCCCCTGCCGAATACATTTGCTTCGCCGATATATGCATTTGCAAACTACTTGAGGCTTTTTGTACTGGTTTTGTTCAGTTGGCTTTCATACTTGCGATCCCAACGAGGTATGCATGCACAGCGACTCACATCACTAGGGCGTCTTTTGAAAAGCATGTACTTGCGACATATACGCACAGTTTTTTACCGAAATATTTTGATTTTTCAGTGGAAAATAAACGGCGTGAAACGAATGTGAAGCGAATCAATAACGGTGCGGCGCTGTACACAGCAAGGAACGGGAATGGGCCTGAGGCAGGCGGCGGTGGCGTGGTCGTCGAGAACAACCGTGCAAGCTTGTTGCCCCCGCCTGCTCGGCCGCAGAAGCAACAACAGCGCTTCACGCTTAATCCGTCCTGCTTTGAAGCGATAGATTTGCCGCCAGGTTTGTTCAGTACCAGTGCTCTTGTAGTCCATGGAAGTACCAGGCCGGGTTGTTCCAACTACCAGCACTCAGTGGAGGATGCTCACTGTCTGAGACCATGCTTTTAGTTATTTATTATGCGTTTTGTGTTGTGTAACAGCGTTACAAAACTCATATTGTCACGGGGTTGTCTGTGTGTGTGTGTGTGTCCCACATTTTGTCCCGCACTCGGGAACCACAAAAGCTAGGCGGCTGAAATTTTGTTATAGTGTTCCCCACCAACGGATGACGCGGCAAGTTTAAATTCAGCCTTCCCGTACCCGCGGTAACCCTTACGGCCCCGTGAAAGTTTTTTACTGGTAAATCAATATCTCAGAAACCACGGAGTCTAGGAGGCTGGAATTTTAGGATAATGACCCCCCTGCCCACCCTCAACCTTGCCCATTCAAATTCAGCATTCCCGCGCTCTCGGGTATCACCTACGGGCTAGTAAAAGTTTTTACGGGTAAATTCTTATCTCGGGAACTACGGGGTCTAGTAACTGAAATTTTAGGGTAATAATTCCCTGCCCACGCTCAACCTTGCCTATTCAAATTCAGCGTTCCCTCGCTGTTGAGTATCACCTACG